CCATAATACAATGTTTCTCAAAAAAAAAATCTAGGGACTACATGCATTAAATCTGGCATGTGCATTTATTAATTTATTTTTATTTTTCTCTTCATCAGGCAAATAATTTATTAAATTCCCAGTAAATACACACACACACACACACACACACACACACAAATGGTCTCTGGATGTATGCCAACACAAAATAGACAATCATATATAAATTATACAAAGTGGATATAGTATATGTTTTCTTTTTCTTTTTAAACAATGGAATTTTATTTTGATGAAAACCTTGAGTTTACAATCATTTAGTAAATAAAGAGCAAACACTACATTTTCCTGACTCATAACTCTTAAGGGAAAAAAATCATTAGTAAATAAATATCTGTGAACGGTTTAAGGGTAAGGCAAACTGGATAATAAACCACCCCTGATGTTCACACTCCCTGCGTGTGACTCACGCTAAAAGGGTGAAAATGGCACTGGAGATAACAACAGTGAAGATATGGGCATTGGATCTCATTTTAATCATTCAAATAAGCCCAATGATAAATATTCATTTTTTTTGTTCTTCAAGGGCATTAAACTATACACATTTTACTGAAGGAATACTTTTATTGAAGCACTTATTTAAGTTACATTGTGCATCACAACTATAAAAATGGCTCGAACAGTTCCATTTAACCACCATTTATAAAGTGCAACTATATAAAATTCTGCATTTTATCTGGGGTATGACATATCAATCTAGACTGAAAGTACCACAGCTTCCAATTTCCACCACTTTGAAAAGATCTAGATGTGTGAAAAAGGACTGTCCCCCATACAAAGAACCAATTTCACAAACCTACTGGTAAATAAACACATTTATATAACTGGAACCTCAGTATGCTAGAGTTGTACTCATTTTAAAAAACATTCAGCTACCTTTGGTCTTTAAGAAAGCCTACACGACAATATCCTAAACATTGTTATGTGCATCTCGCGATGAAGAAAGTGGCCTTGCAGTGCAGAATGAGGAGAGTGCAATTCAAGGAACATCAGCATCTCACAGCATTGGACTCTGTGCATCAGGATCGAGGTCATTGTTGCCCGAAGCGGGATGGATGGGGAGAACATCCAGCTCATCCACTTGCGGAGTTGGGTGCATGACTACCAGCTGGTCCTGGGGAATGTCTGCAGCAGCTGCAGCAAGGTTGGTGATAGATTTACTCTTTAAACACTGAAGGTCTACATGCCGTCTCTTTCCTTCTTCCTTCTTCCTTCTCCCAAGACATTCGAATAAAGGTCTTTGGACGTAGTTGTAAATCACTTCTGGGTGGCCCCCAGGCCTTTTCTTTATTTTTTCTTTATAGGTAGGATAACCTCTATTCCCAGTCTAATCTTCTTAAGACCCCTCTCCTTCAGAACTGATTTGGCCACATCTCTGTTTTCATTGTACTTGAAAAATCTATATAATTTTGTGCTATAAATAATTTGTGAATATTCTCCCATGTGGGATGGATACTCTTCATTCCAATCAACCACATCATTGTCCGTAAGCACCACTATGTGGCATTCTTGTTCTCCACTTTGGGCACTAGCTACCATGAGAGGCAGGATCATTTCTTCTAGATACAATTCAAATTGTGTACTAGCACCATCATTTGATAACTCATGCATTAGGGCACTGAGATCTCTATATTTAATAGCACTATATTTAAAAGAGATACAAAGATAGTCACGTTTCTCTCAGTTCAGGATAGGCGTGCCATCAGGACAGCGGATTACCCTTGTTTTATAGTAATCCAGAATAGCTCGAAATGCAGTGGAGCCAAAGCCCTCTGCCACCTCATACTCTCCCTTCTCATTGGGACGTGTAAAGTATGTTCTTTGCCAGATCCAAACATCCTGCCCAACATTGTATTTGGTTATGCAGTACAAATGGATGGGTCTGCAACAAATCTAGTATTATCCACTATCGGTGTCACTCTTTCTGACGTTCTTACACTCCGGGCTCCTTCTTTTGCATTTTCATATACAAACGCCATCTCCCCAGATGTCTTACAGCTACCATCTGAACTTGACCGACTACTATTCCTGCTGCTCTTCCCAGCACTGCTACTGGAACCATTTGGAGATGCTTTCTGAGGACGAGGACTGCCTGGACAAGAGGAACTGTGATCTTTTTCTTGTTCAACATTGTGCTGTGGTGTTGGAGAAATAACATCTCTAATACAAGGAATGAGCTGAGACTCTGTTCTTTCAAGAGATGAATCTCGTGATCTGTCACTTGACCTTCATCTGTCTCTTGATCTCTCATGTCCCCCACTAGCACCATGTAGACTCACTTTGGTGTGGTCGACAACTCTTTTAGCAACATGTGTGGGAGTACTTGAAAGTTTATAATCTTTACAAGGTCTACTATGCAATTTCTGATCCCGATTCTCTGGATCACTGGAGGTACTGTCATACGGATGAGGCCGTCCTGCCATCCCACTTCAGGTTTGCTCACACTACTGCTCTGAAAGCACACGTGTAGCACCCATAACCTGTAGTCCTCCTTGAGCGCCCACGGAGGGCCTAGGCAAAGCCGGGGCCAGCAACACCTCCGCTTCCCCCTCAGCGGGATCCCTTTGGAGGTGTCTGTAGTGACGGCCACTGAGGCAGCCGTGGCTCCCAGAGCCGCCAGGTGGGTTACAGGCTGGCTCCTAATCTCTATATGTTTTCTTTCTAAGACATGTTAAAAGTTCTGAGGTATAACTTAGTTGGCTACATTGTTGAATATAAAACTAAAAATTTCTTGAAGTAATGGGTTAAGGTCAGTTTTTTAATCAATACAACTTCACAGAAGCATCAACTAAAATTTTTATAAAATAAAAATTGCTCTTATTTTACTTACTCTTTTAAAGAAGTTTTCAGAATTTTGATTAAGGGGTTAATAGTTACAGAAAAGGCAAATTAATCACTTCTCAGGAAATGTAAGTACAGCTCATAAAAGTAGGCCTGCTAATGGGAAGGTTCTCCTTGCTCCTGTGCTTTGAGACCCCCACCCCCACCCCAACATGCATTCCTCAATGAATAGTCCTTGAGAGCTTAGCTCCTGGTTCATTGTCACCATCTCCAAGGTTACCACTGCCATAATTCTTGGTGATTTTAATACCCAGCTAGATAATCCTTCCCATCATAGTTCCTCTAGTGTCCAGATTCCAATACTCCTACAAATCCTAAAGATCCTATAAGCCTTTGCTGTTAGAATTTTTCCCTGTCCTTTGATCTCACCTTACCATTATACTTACCTTCTATCCCTCAATTCTTCTTTAAAAATTATAGTTTGCCTTCCACATTGTTTAGTATCAGTTTCAGGTATATAGCATATGGTTAAATAATCAATTACTTTATAAAGTATTCCCTCACTATTTCAAGTACCCACCTGGCACTGTGCACAGTTATTACAATATTATTGACTATAATTTCTATGCTGTTCTTTACATCTTGTGACTATTTTGTGAGTACCACTTTGTACTTCTTAATCCCTTCAAATTTTCATCTAGCACCCAACATCTTTCCCCTCTGGCAAACATCAGTCTGTTCTCCGTATCTATGAGTCTGTTTCTATCTTTTGTTGTTATTGTTGATTTAGTTTGCTCTTTAGATTCACATGTTAAGTGAAATGATGTGGTATTTGTCTTTTTTTGTCTGATTTATTTCATTCAGCACAATACCTTCTAGGTGCATGGCATGTACATTTAAAATTCAGAGTCCCAGACATAACTCATAAAATCAAAATTCAACATTAAGATTCTAAGATTCCATTTATAGCAAACTCCCCAGGTAATTTTAAGCACATAAAAGTCTGAAAACTGCCTTAATAAGGATGCTTTCTTATGATTTAAGAGTAAGAGTTGGGGATGGTGAAGGAAATGAGTTTTTGATTTATTGAAGGTTCCTGTTCACCAAGATATTTGAGCAGGTATTTTTATTCTAAAGCCTATTTTAGAGACACTGAAGACATTACATCTACTCACTTAGCTATGGGACACTGTACAATGGTATAAACCATCTCACTACTTCTGGGAGGCTGGTAAGAAAAACATCAAGCTAACCCTTCTGAAGAAGATGTTTGCAGATATTTCCACATCACACTGAGAAAAAGATTCAGATAAAATTAAAGAAAAGGTGCTTCTTTAAAAGGACATTCTTTAAAATTAATAATGGAACTAACATATGATCCAGCACTTCCACTCTGGGTATTTATCTGCAGAAAAAAACCACATAAATTCGAAAAGATATCTGCACTCCCATGTTTACTGCAGCATTGTTTACAATAGCCAAGATGCAGAAACAACCGGAGTGTCTGTCAATGCAGTAATGGATAAAAAAAAAAAGTCACACACACACACACAATAGAATATTATTCAAGTATAACAAAGAATGAAAATGTTGCCATTTGTGACAAGATGGGTGGATCTGGACGATATTATGTTAAGTGAAATAAGTCAGACAGAGAGAAAGACAAATACAATGTTATTTCTCTTATATGTAGAACACACACACACACACACACACACTAAAAAAAAAGCTTAATAGGTACAGAGAACAGATTGGTGGTTGGCGGTGGTTGGCAGAGGTAGGGGTTGGAATAGAAAAAAATGAGCAAAATATTTTTTGTTTAAAAATAAAAAATAAAGGGCATTAAACATATTATTTGAAACTTTAAATGTTTATTTTGGGAGTGGGTGAAAGATCAGACAAGTTAGAACAGAAGAGCAAGAAGAAAAGAAATCCACATTTGAGCAACCCCTATGCTCTGGATGTGGTGTTAGGAGACTCATGAGAAAATGTTAAGACATCATTATCTCCATTTTTTTTAGAAGAGGAAAGAGACGGGAGTTTTTGCTAGTTGCTTATTAACTAAATTACACCTAGAAGCAGGAAGCAGCTTTTAAAATTAAAAGCTATTAGTACTATGTGTATTAGTGAAACCCAGAAGGTTTCATCAACCTAATACAGTATGTCCATTTGCAAGTGGAAGCTTAATGCTTAAAGTTTCTTGTGACATGAAGCGAGCAGGGTTTGCCCACGGGGGGGCCCTCAAAGAGCTCCAGCACCCCGCACCACACAGGCACGCACCTGAAGTTACAGCGTGCGGCTGTCAGCACCCACTGCTTTGCAATCAGAGCACCTCCGTAGTCATGTTTCCCTTGGTGCTGCCAGGGCCTCGACATTGCAGGTGCAGCATGACCACCAGCCACCCTGGGCTCCCCAAGCTCTGCTGATGGCTCATCTGTATTTCTCTGCGACTCCTCTATTACAAATGGGTCGACAACCGGAATTCCACATTTGTCTTGGGTTGGCCATCTTTCTGTGTTGTTTTCTACTGTCACTCCTTAGAAAAGGAACATCAAAACAGTAAATAGAAATACATATGCAAATCTATTAAAATCTCAGAACAGAGGTGTTTGTTTCTTTTGTAGATTCAAAACTAGAATTCTTAAAATGAGCAAAAACCAGTAAACTGAAGCATTAATATACACAGCTTTAGATTAACAGGAGCATAAATCAATTTTTAAAAAAGAAATAAAAATATTGCACTTAATTATGAAATTACTGGACATTATTCTTTCTGTGGCATTACTTGTGTTATCCTAGTATAACAAATGTAGACATACCAAAATACTTTATACTACATGTATTCAAAATGCAATGCATACATAAAGGAAATGCATAAAAAAAATTCCTAGCAAGGTGTTTACTCCATTTTCAGAATTAAAAAGAAATCCAGTATGAAATTAAAAACAAGAGGCTTATTTAAGTATTTCCTCAAATATCAAGAAAATTAAGCTTCTCCATATAATTTAATTATAAAGTGTGCTGATTTGTTAAATTATTTACCAAAAACTTCCTTTTTATACCAGAAATATGTTTAAAACAGAGTTTCTAACACAGCAGATTTGTTTGTTTATCCAATACTTACATCAAAACTCATTTCAACTTTCTTTTCAGATATGTATAAAACATGGATTCCCTCCTCCTTTTATATACATATTCCAAAAAATATGCAAACTCTTTGAAATTATATTATCATAGTTTTAGAAAAAACCCACAAAATGTAGCTATGCAAATATATTTTTAGTACATTAAGGTTTTCTGCCTAACTGAATATTTTTACTGCATTTATAATCCATACCATATTACATGTGGTAATATGTAGTATTACCTTTGGGTTGCTTATACACCTGCATCATAGCAATATTTTATTAGTATTCAATTTACTTCCAAAAAAAGAAATACTTACAAAAATAAATGAGCCCCGGCCAGTGTTGCTTAGTGTTATGTCTTCGGCCCAAATAGCATACTAAAGGGTCTAGGGTTTGAGGGAATGCACCAGAAAAAAATACCTTGGGTGAGGATCAACAAAACAAACAAACAAACAACAATGACAAAAAGAAATGAGACAACCTAAATATTTTTATTGTAATATTATAATACTTTATAATATTACATTGTGAGAATGAAAACTGAGTTTTGTAATGTAGAGATAGAAAGATTTGAGCAATGGAGACAAAAGGTCAATAAGGTGAGCATCCTAAAACAATGAAAAATCACAACTATGGAATGATGAAGATCATTCCTCTATGGCTCAAATCAAGGACTCTTTGGAGAGCCCATTCACTGCCCTTATCATAATAAAGACAAAGTGATATCAAGAAGAACTTTGAATTTCAAGTTGATTAGAGATATTCCCAGAATTATACTCCAATCAAAAGAATCTCCTAATAACACATTCATTAGACTTTTAAATCTGAAGCACAACTAATGAAATTCTGGCTTAAAAGTAGATTGGATCAGTAGAAATGTTATTAAATTTGTTTCTATTTTATGCAGAGAAGTTTGTACATGTTCAGTTAAATTATTCTCTTTTGGGGCCTTCATGGGAATGGAGTGAAGTTACTTAACAAAAGAGACATGGTAACAGACACAGAAACACACTGAACTCTACCTTTGTTTCTGCTTTAATGTCTCCACTGGATCTTTTTAATAGCAACTGACCTTTATGTTTATCATTATTTTTTAAATAAAAATAACACACACACACACACACACACACACACACACACACACACACAAGCATACACACACCCCAATTAACTTGATTACCTCAGATGATATATCTGAATTACCAAAGTTTCATGCATTAAGGAATGGTTTGAAATGAAGTTATCCTGTAATTGACCTTTAAACCAGTATTCCCAGTTCTACTTCAAGACCTATATGGTACTGATACTGTTGCAATTAACCCAGTTGTTAATGAATAACTGGACAGGAGCAAATAGACGCATGCCCAGTAAGGTCTGGAAAACATGGGAAAGATACTTGCTTGTCCGTCACACCTGCAAACACGTCATTGGCCAGAATAGGCGTGGCCAATGCAAGAGCCAGAAGATTTGATATTCAAACTCCTGATCAAAGGAGTTTTGCCCATTTTGCTCTCTTGCTTGCCTGCTCTCTTGTGGACCCCACACACAATGGGCTAATGGACTGGAACCACCCTGATGCTGTGTTGGACTCAATTTCACCATGGAACAGAAACTGTGGACACTAGCTTTGCTTTCAACTCTGCTGAACCCCCATCTGTACCCCTTCCAGGACTGGTTTAAGATAAATGGGACTTCAGAAACCAAGGGATATATTTCCATGCAAATAGAAAAATCATTCATTCTCCTGTGCAAGACTCAGAAAATTCTTTTCCCTAAGATATTGTAAGAACGCGATCCCTAGCACCCAGTGGGGAAAGGGATCCCTCATTTCTGCTGATGGATACCTCACTTCCACCAATAACAGAACCTGCTTTAGTAAACATTTTGAAACAATTACTTACCATTGATAGGAAATTTGATCCTAGTATTGCTTTTCTGAATCATATCTTCCAAAATAAGTTTAAAACTTCTTTCTCCCACAGACACATCAGCCTTAAAATGTGCAGTCAGGTAAACACCACTAGCTATCATGACAAATTCTTTTTTGGAGCCACATTAATGAGCTGCGATGTGAGAAATATTCAATAATTAAAATACTTCTGTCAATAACAGCTAAAAGACACTAAAGAGGATATATTAAATCCTAAACTGTTCACATTGACAGAGGAATGATTATGAACAATGCACGATCAGGATTTGTAGGATGGAACTCATGTGTTGATTGTAACATTGGAAGGGTATAGATTGTAAAAGATCAAGGGGAAAAGGCTGGGTGAGCAAATGATATAAAATTGTGTACCAATCTGTGATTATAAAAATAAGAAAAGAAGCATTTTGGTGAAGGTAAGTAAGTAGACAGAGAAACAAGCAGTGTATGGACCAAATGTTTTGTTTCCCCAACCCTTGAAATTTGTATGTTGAAATCCTAACTCCAATACAATGGTATTAGGAGATGATACCTTTGAGAGGTAATTAGGTTATGGGAGTGGAGCCCTCATGAATGCAATTAGTCCCCTTTTGAAAGAGACCCCAAAGAGATATGTTGCACCTTTTTGCCATTTGAGGGTATAGCTGTCTATGAACCAAGAAGTCAGCTCTCACCAGATACCAAATCTTGGACTTGACAGTCTCCAGAACTCAGAAACAAATTGTTGTTTAAACCACCCAGATTATGGAATTTTTGTTATAGACGCTCAAACTAAGATATGCAGGTTGCCCAAATATAGAATAATGATCCTTTCCTAACTCAGTAAACAAAGATTGTTCTGATAATGACAGGACATTTTCTATAATTCACCTGTACATGTTATAATTTAAATTCTCTTAAATTAAAACAATGACACACTACTGATTTGTCTTAAAGATAATGGTATCACAGAAATCAGAGAAAGACATATGGAAAATATGGAAGTAGCCATTCTCTACATCATTCTAATCTACAAAAATACTGTATGATGAATTGGAAGTGATGGGGAACTTTTGGGATATACCATGTTAAATAAAGGGATTCTGGGTAGAAACAACAAAACCTCCACAAGTTTTAAAATAATGGAAATGGGAAAATGTTACTCTGTTTAAAAAGGAGATTTGGGGTTGGGGAGATGGGTAGGAGATAGGAAACAAAGAGTTGTAGGGGATTCCAAGGTCATATCAGTGAAGTAAGGCAGCTTAGTTTATAGGCAGATTCTATTGGCCAACTGCTGGTCTGAACCAGCTCTGCGATTTATTAACGATGTAGTCTTGGGTAAGTTACTTAAACTCTCTCTGTGCCTCAGATTTCTCATCTGCATAATGGAGATAAAAATAATAATACTTAAATGGGGTTAAGTGAATTGGTATTTATAAAGTATTGTGTTTGTTAAGTAAAATTAACCTCAGCAAAATTTTACAGCTAATTATTAGATAGATGGTTCCTGAACACTTGGAGAAGGACTCAGTGAGCACATGAAGCCAGCATGGAATCCTTAACGTGCCACATTAAATTAACCTACTTTAATTTTTTTTTTAATCCTCACCTGAGGACATTTTTCCATTTTTTGTTCAGACAGAGCGGGAGGGAGGGAGAGAAAGAGAGAGAGAGAGAAACATTGACGTGAAAGGGACACATCGAGTGGCTGCCACCTGCATGACCCAACCAGGGCCAGGGACAAACTGCAACAGAGGTATGTGCCCTTAGCGGGAACCCAACCTAGGTCTCTCTGGACCACAGGCCAACACTCTAAGCGCTGAGCCAAACTGGCCAGGGCAACCTACTTTAATTTTTGAAAGAGAAAATTAGATGGTGGCTGGGGGAAATGAGTTAAACTTAACAAATCTTGATTTGTTATGATGTGTCTGATAATGTCCCCTTGAACAGATATAGAATGTAAGCGGATAATTATGTGGCTAGGAAGTTTCACTGCTGATTAAATAACCATAGAGTGTTAACCTGAAGGGGAGGTCTTAATGGTATGGAATGGTTCTATCCTTGGTTCTTCCAAGGACAGTATTTCTACTAATGACTTAAGATGGGTCGTAGCTAGATGAGAAGTAAGGGACTAGATTAAATACAGAATTTAGAGATCATTTAGTTTAGTCTTTCATCTAACACTGAGGTCCTTCTGAAATAACCTTGGATATATCATTACTAGCCTTGAAAATATGACATGGACTTTATGAGCATTTTCTCTTTTTGAACAAATGTAATTGCTAGACTGTTCTTTCTCATGTTGAATTAAAAGGCATCAAAGTAATGACTGCCATTAGTATAGTGGCCAAGAATTAAGAGTTTGAACCATAATGCTTGGGTTAAATCCCACTTTCTCTACTTATTATGTCACTGAGGGCAATGTACTCAATCTTTTTGTGACTTGGTTTTCTTATATATAAAATGAGAACAATGTCAATGACTTCTGGATGATTTTTAAGATTAAGAGAGCTACAAATTTTTAGGATAATGCCTGAATAATGGTACTCAACAACTATTAGGTATGATTGCACAGAACAAATTGCATACATGGCTTCTATGAGAATCCATATTTAAAAAGAAGAACTTTGATCCTTCTGTCTTCTCTTTTCTCCAAGATAAACATATGTCCAGGTGTCCACGCCCTTCGGCATCCTAGTCATTATGCTCTATGGATGTGTTCCAGTTTGTCAGTGTTCCTTAAAATTGTTGCTTGACCAAGGATGAAATAACCAGTAAGGCAGGGCAACAGCCAATCAGATTGGACCTTGCCTGTCAGGATTTGTGAGACTGAGCTGCCGCATGCCAGCTAAATGCCAACACTAAATTTGACCATACAATGAAACCATAATTTCTTTTATCTTTTAATTCTTTACTAACTTCGCTATGAAAAATAGCAATAATTTAAGACCTCTGAAATTTTTATTTTGAACACCCACTTTCTAAATCACTACCTCCTAACTATTCAATTCTATTAGTATTTCCTTGTAATAATAAAATTGTCTTACTTCCTGACAGCAACCAACCTAGAGCCAAGTCCACTGCTTTAGATCCTCTCCAAAATTACCCAATCAAACCCCAAATCCTACAGTAGAGTCTTTCTAACACCCTCTGACTGAGCTCGCCTGGCTTTTCAGTGTATGTTCTCTCCCTCTGCAGTGAGTAATGAATCCAAACTGTTCAACTACAGATGTGTTCCAGGGGTCTTTGGCTGAAGGGCTTTGATAAGAGTTGGAGTTGCAAGGTCTGATGCTATAGATATCTCTAATTAATCTTAAGAATAACTAATAGCTTAAAATACTGTTTTTCCCCCTCCTCCAGACTCTAATTGCTTTAGAAATTTTGATAGGTACCAAACTCACCAATAAGAAAAAGTTAGGTAACCTTGGAATTTTGAAGCAAATTGCTAAACATATTGGTGTTATAAATCTGCAGTATCACAGAAGAGGTCAAGGTCCCTGGAAAAGACACTACCAAAAACTCTCCCCTTGCCCTTTGTAACAGGTAGTTTGTAATGGTGTCTGAGTGGCAGAACTGGGAGGAGACTAGAGAAAGTGATGCAATATTGGATAACAGAATCTTTGGGAAAGTTTCCTTCTATGAGTCACTCTCAGAATAAGATATTGCCTGACATCCAAATATGATAGACACCATGTGGTCAATAAATCTGTAAAGATCATGCAATCTAATTAGCCTTTCCTTTTTTCATTTATCTTGCATCTAAAAACGGCCACCTTTACTGTGAGGATGAAAATGGCATAAGTAAATTTTTTAAAAAGTTACCTAAACATTCAGTTTAGAAAATAAAACCTTTTAAAACATATTACCTCTTGAGAAAAAACAAGTTAGCGTGCTTCCTTATGGTAAAGGGAGATAGGAATCAGGAGATAGGAATCACTGGACTAAAATCAAGTAGAGCTGGTATTAAAGGTCAACATCCAGTGAATGGAGTCTCACGCTCAGCCCATTGTGCTCTGGGATTCTGATTAAGGATCTGATAGAAAATCACTGACAACAAATGACATTGTTCTCAAGGAAATTTTAGGTCATATTTCCCACATATATTCAATATATAAATACTTAGTGCCACTTAACTTGGGCCATTTAAGAAAGATCACTTTACCAAGTAATCTTGATTGTTGATCTGGTCCATCATAAATACTGAAATAATCCCATTCATAGTTCCAAGATTCTTCTGTTACTAAGTCTTTAATCACTGCCTCAATTTTATTTCCTGACATGGATTAAAAAGTCCAAGTACAGTTCAGCATGCTTGGATAAATATTAGGATGATTGGGGGATGTGATTTCAATGGAACTAACAGGAATTAAATCCTTAAGACATCCTTAAGGCAAAAGAAAAAATATTTAACACAATAATAAAAATCTGAGTTACTTCTTGAATGTAGCTTTAATATCTATAAGTGGGTCATTAAAACTTCAACTGTAGTATACTTTTATTAATTTCTATCACTGTTTCTTTACATCCATAGTTCCTTATGTATACTGACACAGAGTTTAAAATGACTTTTGTTTTGAAAAACTTATTCCCCCATACTGAAATTTTTTTACTTTAACTCAAAAACTGTGAATGACTAAATCACCAACTTTTACATTTCGATGTAGTTTTGATGCCCATAATGTAATACATTATTTTACTTAATGTTCACAATAATTAAAAATAGATTTTATTATCTTCAGTCTAGAGATGAGTGAACTCACACTTGACATTTAACAGATGTGTCCTAAGACTTTTAGGACTTCCCTAAATTTGCAAGTACCAAAATAATATTTTATTTCCCCACAAATGCAGTAAGAAATAATTTCAATCCCACAAATTGTGAGTAAAAAACAAGGCAAGCAAGTTGAGAAGTAGATCTGGATACCTGGTTAGACTAAATTCGTGAGTAAATTATGTGCACCTAAAATTTGGCTTCACAGCAGGTACAATTCAAATTACACATATTTATTAGGTAGGAAAATTTGAATCACTTTCAGATAGTTGAAACTAGGATACTAAGTTTCATAAGAGCCAAGGGGCTACTAGACCAGAAAAGAGAGTTGAGGTTTCAGACACATTTGGGGACTATTCTAAATGCTCTGGGTATTATCCAACCTAAAATGAATGCCATCCAAAAATTGATTTACTTCACCAACAACTGTAGCTCTTTAGTTTCATTATGCAATGGTCCAGAAAAAGAGAGAGACATAGAGAGACAGAGAGAAATATACAGAGTCCAAAAGACATAAAATATATGAAAAGAATGTCAATAAATAGACATAAAATAGGTAGGGGGATTCCCATGAACAAAACAGATGCATTTCTTATCCATTAGTGAATAGGGTGCTATCTCCGTACCCTCCACTCCCTAATCTACCCTGGTCTCCACTACCCTCAAATTTTAACACAAAGAAATTTAATATAAGTTCATATTTCATTATACAGCAGCTAGAATCAGGCCACAAACACCTGAAAGTTTTTGACAGAAGTCAGAGTACACTTTGTACTAAACGGTGTTTAGCAACAAGAATATTCCCAATTCTATTTCCATAATATTATGTAACTAAAGCCAAGCCAATTAGATTCCTTACCTCCTTTATGATCTTACCTTTATCATTAACTTTAACTTTTCCAGTCATGGAATCTAGAATAAGATAATATTCAGGGTCAATACATCCAAGCAAATACTTTATAGTATTTATTCTTTTGATTATAAAAGTGATACAAGCACATTGTAGAAAATTCCAAAAACATAGAAAAAAAATTTTAAAAGTCTCCTGGAGCTCCATCCTATAAATAACCAATACTCATAATTTAATATAAATCTTACCAGGACTCTTTCTATGCTATATGTACATTTTTAAAAACTGTTTGCCACTTTACACAACTATAATCTTTTATTTCCCACTTAATTTATTGTGATAATTTTTTACATCACTAAATAGTCCACATAAATTTTAATGGCTCTATATTTTCAATTCATATAGATATAACAATTTCTACTGATATATTTTCATTTGTAACTTTAGGACTATGAATGATAAATCAGATCTTTAATAAACCTTACACACAGTGCGTAAATCTAACAATTTCTTCTGTTATTATAAAAATATCTACACTAAAGATTGTCTGAGTTTATCTGAGAAACAGAATTGAATATGTACAATAACAATCTCCTGAGTTAACTCTCACTCGTACTTCAACTCTCAGCCACGGGGATTACCATAAACAACAGGTCCACTTTTCTTTCACCCATTCCCTGGATAAGGAGCTACTTCCTTACTCTTTACTCCCCAACATGTTTTGGCTGAATTGTCATTTTCTTTATTCAAGCAAAGAGTTATTGAGCACCAACTATTTACTAGGCATGGTTATTATTTTGGAGATAACAGCAATGGGGCATGCTAGGTGTGACTGAAGAATAGCAAGAAGTTTGGCATGGCTGGTATGTAGTGAGTGTTGGGAAAAATGGTAGGAAAAGTCTAGAAGGTAACCAAGATGGAGATCATATAGCATCTTGTAGGTTACTCTAAGGACGTTCAGTATAAATGACTTGGAAAAATATATTGGGAGATACAAACAGAAGAAAAACATGACCTGAATTATTTAGTTGAAAATGATCACTCTAGTTGTTATGAGTAAAATAGACTAAAAAAAAAAGACTCTTCAGAATGTGATGTTGCAATTGTTGAGAAGTAGTTAGATTCCAGATCTATTTTTCTGAAAGACCCACATATGAATTATATTCCATGTGAGATGCGAAAAGAAAAGTTAAGGATAACCAAGATTAATGGCTTGAGCAATTATTAAAATGGAGTTGCCATCTACTGAGATGGAAAGTTTGGTGGAAGAAGAATTTGGAAACAGGTGTATGGAATCAAGTTGAATTTTGGTCATGTTAAGCTTGATGCTTACTATATATCCAAGTGGAGAGGGAGGCAATTGCATATATAGAGCTGACATTCAGTAAACAAGTTGTACTTGAGATATATATTTGGCCGTTTTCTGTGCATAGACAGTATTTAAAGCTAGGGGTTGCACACTCACTCACTTAAGGGTGAGTTTAATAAAGAAGAAAAGAGGGTCAAGGACCTGGATCCTGGAACACCACAACCTTGAGAGAGAGAGAAGATGAGGAATGACCAGTGAAGAGACTGAGGGAGATCAGGGAGGTGAGAGGGGGCCAAGGGAAAGCCACGCCCTGGAGGCCAAGTGATTCCAGAAGGAAGGAGAGCTCATATGTGCCAAACGCTGTTGTGGGACTGAGAAGTTACCTTTAGATCTGGACTTGTGGTAGCTTTGGCAAGAACAACATCTGTGGAATGGCAAGAAAAAAAAAATGGTAAGAAAAAAGAAACAAGTCCTAGGGGAATGGATTCAAGACAAAATAAGAGAACAAAAGGGAGACAATGAGTAGAAATCAGTTTCATAGAGTTTCACTGCAAGAGAACAGAGAAATTAAAGTTTTCCCAGAATTCTATCCCCATCCTTTGCCAAACTAGACAGAAGCCTTCTGTTATATAGTTTCATTTCGCTCTGTGTTTTTCCTTCCAAACCTAATTTTTCACTCTATATTTTTCTTTAAGATTATTTGAGTATTGACTAGCTCCCCTACTAGACTGTAAATTCTGCTAGGGCAGGGACTGTCTTGTTCACTGCTGAATCCTCCTGGCATAAGTTTAAAAACTTTTGCTGATAGTCTGAATAATTAAAGGCTTGAATGTGAGGTTTTATTCTATTTTGTTTATGTGACTCCCTTAAGGTATGCTTTGACATGTGATATGAGCTTGACGCAAGTCTCTTTAGTTATCTCCTACCAACACTTCTCACATTACCAAACTAAGTTAAGTAAACTATTTTTAGTAGAAATGCCTCTCCAATTGTATTTCAATTAACATTTTTAATGAGTAATTGCAAATGTTTTCTCCATGATACCCAATTTCTATAATTTGGAATAATTCTCAATTTTCATACCATCAAGGCTTTTGCCCAAACCAGAGGAAAGTAAGGAAAAGCATATTTTTCAATAACCTTATTGCATCTAATATAAATGAACTAGACATCAAACAAGTAAAAGAGAACTAATTTACTCTTGATATTTACACAGCAAGAAAATAAATTTTAAAAGAAAAAAGACTACTTGAAAATTTTATAATAGAAATAAAAGATTCCTACTACATTGTTACAATATTCCAAGTACACAGAAAATAGACAAATTCTTAAGTGCTATTCAAAAAAATTAAAATCTGATTAATCTTATGTTTTATGGAGACTTAGCTTGAGGCCTCCATGGATAACAGAAGCCACAACCTTAAGTATTATTTTTTCTTCTCCCCTAAATCTGACAAATGAAACAGAGAATTCCAATTTATTTATTTGGTAACATAGTTTTCCAAACAAAGCTCAATAAAACAAATATTAAAAAGCAATAAACTTACCAGAAATATGAAAAGAATATCTCAGAGAAAATTCTTCCATGGCCAAACTGACATTGTCTGTGAAAATCACCATCATAAGAAGACCATGAGATTTTAATGAAGGTGAATCTCCTTCATATAATTTTCCTAGGGGAGAAAAAAAAAGTCTTATCATTCATCAAGGCAAAGGTTACTGAGCAAAATAAGAGAAAAAAAATCCTATGTTTGAAATTACAAATTTATACCATATCTATTCCCAAAAATATGCAAATGGGATAATTAAGCAGAATAAAACCCAATTAGAATAGAGAAATGTAAGTTTCAGATTCCTGAGTCTAAGCAGCTCTAAGGAAGGGGTTCTAAACCAACAGTACCCAGTTCATATAATGTCTAGAATAACCTTGGTAGATATTTTTAAAGCTATGTATTATAAGAGAAGGTGAAATGGTCTAACTAGTTTCTCAAGGAATGAAAAAATTATTCTTGTCATCAAACAAAAATAAACATATATATTATTTTTTTAAATACTTACCCAGGATTTTTTCCATTTATTTTAAGACAATATGTGAGGGATTTTTTCCATTTATTTTCAGACAATGTGGGGGGGGGGGGGGAGAGAGAGAGAGAGGCATCTATGTAAGAGAGACACATTGATTGGTTGCCTCCCACACAACCAGGGCTGGGGACCTGCCCTGAACCAGAATTGAACTCATGACTCTTTGGTCTGTGGGCAGATGCTCTAACCATGAGCCAAACTGACCAGGACATATGTAGTACTTTTTAAAAAGAATTTAGTTATACTATGTAGTTTTTCATCCTGATCTCATTCAATATTATATGTAAGATCTCCCAGTTTCATAAAAAAACTTATGTGAAAATATTTTATTTAGTGCCTGTATAACATTTTTCCTATGGATTTACTATACTTTTCTTAACCAATTTCCCATTTATATTATTTTTTGGCCATTATAAATAACACTAGCTGGACCAACACCTTGTACATAAATGTCTCTACATATATATAAAGTATATTTTTAATGAGTGTGGCTAAAAGTTGAAACACTGAATAAACAGTTAGCTTTTGAACAACTTCCAAATCGCCCTCCAGAAGGCATACTCTATACTATACCACAACGATAACATGAAAATGCCAGCCACAGTGTATTTTATATAAGAAGTGTAATCTTTCTTTTTTTTTTTTTATTCTCACCCGAGGACATTTTTTCTTTTTTGTTCAGATAGAGTGAGAGTGAGAGAGAGAGAGAGAGAGAGAGAGAGAAAGAGAGAGAGAAACATCGAGGTGGAAGGGACACATCAAGTGGTTGCCACCCACACAACCCAACCAGGGCCGGGGACAAACTGCAACCGAGGTACGTGCCCTTAGTGGGAACCGAACCCGGGTTTCTCTGGACCGCAGGTCGACTCTCTAACCACTGAGCCAAACCGGCCAGGGCTGTAATCATTCTTTAAAATCTTTTTTTTTTTTTTCCAATTTACTAGGAAAAATTTTTTCTCAGTTCTGTTTTAACAAGGCTGAATTTTTTTTTTTTTTCATATGCACTTATTTGTCTATACATTGCTCACTTAGGTCACTTGCCCATTTTTCTATTAGGGTATTATCTACAAAAATGGTGATTCTGAATTGCATTTAAAAATTAAATGGTTAAACTTTTATTTATTGTACTTATTCAAAATAATTTTTTACATTAGAGATACTCTTAATTAAAAAAATAAACTTGCCCTGGCCGGTTTGGCTCAGCATTTGGAGTGTCAGCCTGTGGACCAGAGTGTCCCAGGTTCAGTTCCCGCTAGGGGCACATACCAAAAAGAAAAATAAATAAAAATAAAAAATAAACTTGTGCTTTATACTTGTTGAGTCAAGTAGTGGTTGATTAGAAAAGTTATAGTCAAGGGTTATAATAAGGACGATGATTTAAATCTGCTTCCTATGACAATCCATTTCAACTTTGATCATACATGTATTTTCTGAAACAAATATTCTAACAAAGGTAGTATTGCCATAACATTCATGGTTTTATGATTTCAAGTCAATAATCCTGGGAACTATTAAGATTTTCCGCTCTTATAGGAAAACTCTGCTCTTTTTAGTAAACAGATGGCCAAAGGATCAACTTCATTGTGACAAGACACAAAATAAGAAGAGAATTTAATATAGATTGTATAGTAACTGATATGTAACCTTTCTTATCTTAAAAGAGGCTAATGGTTAAGCCAGTGCTTTTTGCTCTTGAAATCACTTGGGTCAATAGTTCATCAATCTCTTGGAAAGGAACAAAAAGTCAACAGCTTTGGAGACACTTTTTTTTTTTTTTCCCCAGTAACAATAGTTTTTATTTTTTTATTTTTATTTTTTAAATTAATTAATTTAATTTTGTTACAGATGTTTCTCCTTTCCTCCCCACTGATACCCCCTCCCCTTCCCTCCCTGCCCTGTCCCTGCTTTGTTGTCCATGTCCATTGTTCATGCATACATGCATATAAGTTCTGTGGTTTATCTCTCCCCCACCACCCCCTCTTCTGGGGATTGTCAGTCTGGAGACTCTGTTTTAACTTGAAATTTAATCGAGACTGAGTCAAAAAGATTGGGGCCTATAAATTTCTTTTTTGAGATTTGAGACTTCTAATACTGATTTAAACATTATGTTAATTACCTTAATCCTTTCTCAGAGTTGTTGAAAACTTGTTTTTTAGATTTTGTTTTGGTTAGAGCAGAACAGATTTAATTATAGGAATTTATTGATAATTTTCTCTTTTCTTTCATAACTTTTATATGAGAAGATCCTTCTCTATCCTTAGTTAAAATAATTACCTATTTTTCTACTTTTAATGGCCTAAGAAAAATACTTAACTCTTTAATCAGCTGTTCTATGATATGATGAAGAATATAATTTATTTCCCTCTCTGATTTGTAATGTCGTTTATCATATAAATGCCTGTATTTTTTATTTCCCTTTTGCTCCACTCATATGTGTCTCTTTTTATACTAGTACTACTCTGTGATAACTATTGCTGTTTTGAAGTATGTTTTAAAACCTGATAATTTGCTTGATCACCTGGTCTTTCCCCCCAAAAAATACTTTCAGCTAGTGCTATTTATCTTAAGGATAAACTTTAGAGTGATTAATTTCTTCTTACTCTTCAAAAAAAATTCCCATTGGAATTTTGTTGGGAAATATACTATATTTGTAAATTCATTTGGGATGAATTAATGTTAATTCTGTCTTTCAGTATTAGAACATGCTATTTTTCTCTATTCGGAACTCTGTGTGTGTGTGTGTGTGTGTGTGTGTGTGTGCGCGCGCGCGCTCACGCCAAGTTTTACATTTGATGATAAATCTTACATACCATTTTACAGTTATTCCTAGCTTGTGGGGTTTGTTTTTAATTATAATTGAAGTGATTTTCCCATTATACCTGTTAACTAATTTTTACTGGCATGGTTTTAAAGATACAATTGCTGTATAATTAATTTATATCTAGTTTTCTTAATTTGACCTACTTTTATGATGCATAATACATGTTTCAATGTTAAAAAAACTATCCTTGCATTCTAGAGATAAATCATAGTACTTGGTTATGCTAGATATTCATTGAATAACCTACTGATTTTAAGCATTGAGTTAGCATCTGGAGCTTTTAAACCTTACTTGCAAAAATTGAAATAGAGTCCTTAAAACTTTTTTGGGGGGGGGGGGTTGCAGAGAAAGAAAGTAGTACCTATATTTTAAGAACTAATTCTAGGTAGAGAAGAACAGGTATGTATTTCATTAACATTATAAATTATAACTGATATAGCTAATGTACTATTTCCCCCTTTTATTTATGTCTTTGTTCTTCCAAACTATGTGTACTCAGACACCCCGCCCATGGAAAGGCAATAGAGAAACAACAGTTAATCTTTTCTTCCAAGCAGCACAATTTAAGAATAGAAATGGGCATGTATATTTCTAGTGCAAACACAGTAGAAGCTTGGTTTCTTTTATATTAATTAACATGAATCCTCATTAAATTCTCATGAGGCAATACAAGTGACAGGAATTCTGTCAGGCAAGGAAGGAAGATGCACAGATACTTTCTAAGGATATTGGGCCCAGATCCTGCATTCTCCCCACAAGAAGCTATGAAGCTTTCGATGCAAAATTGGCTCAGGAACCAGGAAAGCTCAGTGTTTATTAACATTTCCTTAAGTAGAAACACAAAGGTTGTCAGTGTGCCTATTTCTGGGATGGTAACGTCAGTCCAGAGAAAAAGACAGTGGTTTAACAATTGGCTGATTTATCAGCTCTGGCATGCTTCTTCTGGTATCTGGGTTGTTTTTCATTTTTGGAAGTCGAAGGCCAGCAAAGTGCTCTCTCTCCTCTCCCTCTGGGCAGTCACCTTATCTTAGTCGGCATCTGTTGACTAAGTAAACTGGGAATTTATAGGGCACATGTATGAGCATGTGGTGGCAATGGTGAGGTGTCTGTTCTCATAAATCACATGAAAAGCAACAGGTATGTATTATTACATCAGGTCATAAATGGGGAAACTCAGTTTTAGAAAGCTTTGGGAATATCCCCAAAGTCACTGAACCAGTGGGTGGTAGAACTGAGATTTGAACCCAGGAACATCAGTTCCCATCACATCTGGGTACTGTTGGTCCGCCAGCCTCAACCCAGCTTCCATTTCCCTTACCCCTGGTTCTCTCCCAGTCAGCTGTGACCATGTGGCAAATCTGGCCAAGGAAATGTAAATCTGCTACAAAATTTTTTTTTTCTAACATATGTTTTTATTGATTTTTTTAGAAAGCGAGGAAGGGAGAGAGAGAGAGAAACATCGATGTGACAGAGAAACATCGATTGGCTGCCTCCTGCACGCCCCCCACTGGGGATCGAGTCTGCAATCCCGGCAAAGGCCCTGACCAGGAATTGAACCGGGGCCTCTCAGTCCATGGGGCAATGCTCAATCCACTGAGCCACATCGGCATGACTGCTACAGGATTCTTGAAAATGTGTTCGTTTTCTCATTGCTAATAATCCTCGCCCCCTGCCCCTTCTTCACTTTTCCTCCAGGGTAATGGCAAGACCTGAGAGAGCCGTCGTGAAACCATCAGGAAAAGGCCAAGGGTACTGCAGCAGCTTCTGTCTTGACAGAGCTGAACTGTCGAAACAGTGGAGTATCTGCATCCCTCTAGATTTCTCTTTGTTAGAATAATAAATTTAAGTCACTGTAATCAGGTTTCTACTAAATGACGACCCCCCTCTTAAGCCTTTTCCTATAAATATTATTTTGACTAATTGATATTGTAGTCTCAATTTTCTTGTGTTACCATTGTCTAAAATTGCTTTATTCATCCTTTATTTGGGGTATTCCTGGGCAAGTTTAATCTAGGTATGACCCAACCAAGCAGCATATAGTTGGGTTTTGTTTGCAACTTAATTTGAGAGAGTATTGGTTAATCTCAATTATAAATCTAAAAAAAAATAGTAACAGTAAGCTGTTGCAACATCATATAAGAGATGAATTTACATCACCTGTAAGTCACATGCTGAATAGACAACAATCTAAGAATATTTTATAAAAGAAAATAAAGAATACAGTTTCTCATGGGAGATTAGTTACCAATTAATTTTTTGCCTGATCCAAATCCTTCATAAACCCACAGGTAACCCTGACAGGCCCAGGATGTGGATTTAATCTGAAAGTTGATAATATTTAGGCAAATGATGGGATTTAAAGGGGCTGACAACCCCCAGGGGCGGCTATGGCACAGATGGAAGAACATCAGAAGTGATTTCTAAGCAGCATATACTATTATTTCCTTGGTTCAGAATTTAATGCACCACTGTCATTGACTTAGCATGCCTCAGTTTTTTTTTGTTTTGTTTTCGTATATCTGCTCCTTTGTGCTTGGGTGAAAGATTTCTACTTTACAACAATGAAAAAATATTCTCTAATACCAAATGTGTCAAAAGGTTTAAGTAAATTCACTCATCATGCTAAACGGCTGGTCAGTCACAGAAAGTAGTCTAAATTCTGACAGATAATCTGTAAGAGTTAAGGACTTACTCTTGCCTGAATTTGCCCCAAACTCCTCCAAATCACATAAATTTACTTAGGATTGATATTATATAAACCTTTACTGTTGACTTATTCCTTTAGTTTTATCCAATTCTTTAATTCAAGGACAGCTCTATTTCCAATTTAAGGACCAATTACTGAGTACCTACTAAGTGCCAGAAGGTTCTACATACATTATTTAAAAAATTTTTTTCTTTATTGATTTTAGAGAGAGAGGAAGGAGAGGGAGAGAGATAGAAATATAAATGAGAGAGAATATTGACTGGCCGCCTCCTGCATGCCCCCCACTGGGGATTTGGCCCACAACTTGGGTATGTGCCCTGACAGGGAATTGAACCAGCAAACTCTTGGTGCATGCGTCGATCTCAACCACAGAGCCACAAGGCCGGGCAATCTACATACATTATTTTAATCTCAAAAACTCTTTGTAGAGAGCTGACTTTCCACTTTCCCTGATAAATGATCTCTTGTTGAAAAAGAACAATTTATCAATGGGGATAATCTTACAAAAAAGCTTTTGTATATTAAAGGTCTCAGACCAGGGATTATCTCAAAATCTATTCTTTAAAGAGAGAAGGTGAAAAATAATGCCCCAGGCAAATATTAATTGTTGCTATCTGTTAAGTAATCATTCACATACTTCTTTCATCATAATAAACATTGCTTCCTCACCTCATGGTGGTTATGTGAAAATATTTTGGGATCTGTGTGATAACTGCTGGTTTGGTCAGAACAACATCCTTACAAGTGGCTACATGCTCTTGGTTTGAACTTTGAAGAAGTCTGGTTACTTAACTGACTTCTGGACCTGGAAATAAAGAAAAGGGAATGAGAATAAAACTGATTTTTAAGAGGCTTGCTATATGCCTTTTCAGATCAAAGCTATCAGCTTTCTTCTCTAATTGTTATGTAAAAAAGTCAACAAGAGGCAGTTCGTGTCACTGAAAAGCCGCTGCGTGAAACATTCGAAGATACAGAAAACCAGCACCTCGCGTGGATTCTGTTTGGCACAGTCTCGGCCGGGAAGGGAATACGGGAGAGGTGCAGATCATGCTGGTTCCATGCACAGTTCCTCCTGGAAGCAGCATTCTTAATGTAGTTCTTCAGGAAAAAGTTTCATAGGATGTGCATGGCTTTTCTTTTTTTTTTTTATTACCCACTTAACCTTTTCCCAAATATATCTTTGCAGTGCCTTTTGGTGCCAAGGAGAGAAACAAGCTTTCAGTTACCGAAGAGTCAAAAATCCTCACTAATTACATCTCGTAAAATGCAATCTGATAACTCCGAACTGCACAGAGTTTGCATGTATAATGCTAGCATCTGACGTTTGTGTAGTTTGTTTTCAAAACTCAATCTAACCTTTTATTATCATAATATCACTATAAAGAAAACTCTGATACAGAAATAACAACCTATCGAGAGCTAATCTGCCAGCTAAGATTTTGAACACAGACCTTCGGATCCACAAGAATTACAGCTGCAGGAAAGGCTCTCTGTGGTGCAGAATTACAATCACAGTAAAAAATGTTAGTTTGCCACCGACATATCCTGGCCATGCCCAGAAATCACAATTCTAGATGATTACAAGTCAATCAAGTTATTTACTGAGCAGTTTCTCTTTTGGACCTCACCATGCTCAGATCACCTCAAACATAAACTCACTTCTCACAGAAACACAATTTCTTACAAAACAGTGTATGCATTTTGAATATTCCTAAAAAGAAAAACATTGTTTTTTTTTAACTTTATAAGTTTATAAAATGATCAAACATACCTTGGACTCTAAAGACAATATAACTTATGCCAAAATCACCTTGTGCAAGGGAACGAAATGTCACCCTCACCAGTGGTCCAGAACATGTTGGTTTGATACATTTACATATTGTAATATTATTACAATTGCAGCAATAATTAGCACCTCTACCACATCACATAATTATTTTTATTTTTTTAGGGTAGGAATAATTAAGCTCTGGTCCCTCAGAAAGATTGCTGATTAGAATACAATACTGTTGTGTATATTCACTACACTGAGCGTTATTAGATCTCTGGGACTTGTCTATTGTTGTGTGTACTGATGAGATAGGAATTTATTCCACTTTGCAGCATGAGGTGACAGAGTTCCAGAGCTCAAGCGACTCACCCAGAGTCACAGGCATGATTAGAACCTGGGTCTGTGAATCCAATAACCATCATAAGATACTGTAACATTGCTCCTTGAAAGAGAGTAGGTGGTAAATGACTTTATCTTTAAAATAATGCTGATATGCCATTTTTTCTCTGAGAAAATTAACCTACTTATTAAAAACATCTCACCATGTAGATCCATAATACAAAACGTTTTCTACCTGAGAATTTATTCTTTCCCTACAGTTAGTTTTATTATTATTATTATTATTGCTTTACTTTGAGAACCTGAAGTCAAAAATGGAAGAAAAAATTATAATCATAATTCTAAAACAATCTAGAGGGCTGATTAAGAAGTTATGAAAACAGCCCTGGCCAGTTTGGCTCAGAGGTTAGAGCATCGACCTGTGGTCAAGAGAGACCCGGGTTTGGTTCTCGCTAAGGGCATGTACCTCGGTTGCTGTTTGTCCCCAGCCCTGGTTGGGTTGTGTGGGTGGCAGCCACTTGATGTGTCCCTTTCATGTCGATGTTTCTCTCTCTCTCTCTCTCTTCCTCTCTCTCCTGCTCTATCTGAACAAAAAGTGAAAAAATGTTCTCAGATGAGGATAAAAAAAAAAAAAGAAGATATGAAAACAACCTATGAGTTTCTTAAAGTTAAACTTATCTACTATTAAGAATAATGCAGCATCATTCTGTAACATTTATTCATATATCATCTTCCCAGAAAGACATTTGCTGCTTATACTACATGTAACTCTGTGGTAGCTACATTCCAGATACTACTTCTCTCCCATCCCATTGCATGCCCCCCCCCAGCTCGTCCACCTAATAAATTATATATTTTATTTTATCTCATTATGTGTCCTCTCCCAACTAGAATATAAGCTTAATATGGAAAGAGATTTTTCTGTTCATTTTGTTCACTACTGGATCCCCACAACCAAGAAAAGTTAGTCTCTGGACCATAGTAGGTGCTCCACAAATGCTTACGGAGAGGAAGGGAGGGAGGAGATTATATCCAAGAAGGAAAAAAAAATTAGTTGGTATAACATATTTAGGTAAATTATGTTGAAATACTATTTGAAGAATGAGCAAATATTTATTTGTAGCAAGTAGCGATGAATGCAGCTCTTGAATGAATTGCTGGCTTCCACGGGGAAAAAGATAGCATTTTACAGTACAGAAGAATAATATCCAACTTGAATAATGGGTAACGCTTCCATTATAGTCTTGTGGTCCTGCTAACAGACAGAACAATTCTACAAAGATCAAGATGACAATTTCAAATCAAAGAAATGCTAGGTTGAAAAATTATAGTGGCTCCCCCATTAGTCCACATCAAAGTCAAGCATGGTTTTCAATAAGTCATACAAAAGGGGAAAGTTTTCTCAGAAAAAATGGTTCTTTCTATATGAGAACCTAGAGTATAATAAAGATAATGATATAAATTAGAGAGAAAATAACTCACTTGTAAAGAAACAGGTATAGCATCACTTTACTATATAATAGATTTTAGCAGAATTAAAGAAGTAAATTTTTTAGTAACAATTTTTTTTGGAACTCAGAATGAATGACTATTTAAATATAAAAGCAATGAGATAAACCACAGATCAAAGATATAAATGAATAAATTAAAACAAATAAATTTTAAAATGTTTACATCAACATGTAATAAAATTTAAAGGCAAATTACAACCTTGTGAATAAGCACTTGCAAGTTGTCATAAAGAAAATATATAAAAACTTTTATAAACAAATAAAAAGAATACCTAAAATGGATAAGAAATAAAATATACAAATAGCTAATCAATACATGAAAAAATATATATCCCTGTTAATGATTTTTAAAAAGTAGAAGTGCCTATCAAATTGATAAGCTAGGTTATCAGCACGGTGGAAGAGGCGCCCTCGCATTGCTAATGGCAGCAAAAACTGACTTAGCCTTTCTGAAGAGAATTTAGTATACACATTCATGTGAAAAGATGTTCTGGGTCTTCAGGCATTATGCTAATTTGGAGAGATTAGAAGGGGGTAAACGAGCAAGATCCCTGCTCTCATCAAGCTTTCATTTTAGTCAGGTAAATACAGATGATTTCAAGTAGAGACCAAGGCTACAAATGAAATAACTAGTACAATATGATAGAAGTTAATTGTTGGAGGGAATAAATGATGCTACTTTAGACTGACAAGACCTCTTGAGGAGGTGTTTCATTCATTCATTCGCTCATTCATTCAATGACTTCTGTGTGTCAGGTATCATTCTAGGCACTGGGGATTTTCTAAGAGAGAGGAGTTTCAGTCCTCAGGAAGCTCACATCCTAAGAGGAAGACACAGACATGAAAAAAATAAAAATATGTTAGAAGACAGTAAGTGCTAAGAAAAGGGCACTAAGAAGTACACAGACAGGAGGTGATGCAGTTAGCATCCATCAAGGTTGGCCTCATTAAGAAGATGACATTCTAGTCAAGATTTGAGGGGAGGGGAGGGACCAGGAAGAGAAGATATTTGAAGAGCTGGGAGAAACAGAAGCACAAGCTCCCTCAGGTGAGCGTAGAAGGGCCTGGAGCACATGGAGCGAGAGGAGAGAGGGGGGAAGTGTGCCAGGGTTTGGATGTTAGTCCAGCTATAAGGGGAAGGCCTTGAGCCATTTTCATCAAGGGGATGGTGAAGATGATCTGATCGTGGGGGAAATGTACAAAGTGGACAGGCCAGTTCCGTTTTTTCTGAAGTTGAAATGAGATAGTATTTTGAAAGAAAGATCCCTTAAAAAAAAGTTGTGTGCCTTTTAAGTCAACGATTTAATCTCTCACCCTAATGTAATCCTGAGAAACTAATCTCCCCTTCAAAACAATTCTCCTGGCCTTCATATACTCCCGAATCAAGCATGTGCATGTGTGTGTGTACCACGCGCACTCACAACAACATACACAAACTTATTTTCATTCCAGCTTTCCCCGTAAACCAAAGTACCTCTGCTACCTTCTCACATTCCTCTTTGCCGAGAGGCAGAAAGCCTGTATGTCACCTGTACAAACAAGAGGTGGCAAGTTTTTGTTGAACAAAATTAGATTTGCCTGTACGTGAAATGAAACGACAGCTGACATGTTATTAGCAATCTTTTTAATTCTGCCATTTTAAAAGGCTTTACTGTATTTTACTTTATTTTAAAATTCAGCAGCCCAGTCCCTCCCACCTCTCATTTTTAACCGTCTTAACTCTATCATATACACATTCCTGGGCATTCTAGCGTGGTTTCGGTATGTTTGAAGAAGTTGGGCCCTTCTGTCTTTTTCCTTTTTTTGAATACACTTATGTACAAACACGTACCCTCAACCTTTAGTACACTTGTTTTGTAAATTCAAATTTTGAATATTAGGTGTCTCTAGAAAAAAAAGACATGCCTGTAACATGAATCAACATTTTGGTAGTATTATTACCAAGTCAAAGTCTCTCTTGATCATAAAATGCCTCTACTGAAAAGACTCCCAACCCAAAGTTCAAATGCCAGTAAGGATCACCGGCCAACCTTCTCTCACAGGGGTTTCTTCACAAATAGTCGGGACTGAATCTCGACACGTATGAGACCCAGGGAGTGACAGGTACCCTACCGTGGGTTTTGCCACACTGCTTGGTGAAACTCGGAGCACCCACGAACATTCCAGATTTCCTTTATAATCCAGTGGGCATCTTGGTGCTGAAGAAAAACCTCTGGGCTCTTCCATCTCCGCTTCAGAGTAACAGCCTGCGATCCGGGACACACAGGCACCAGGGACCAACGTGAACAAGGAAAACTGAGGTTCTATCACAAAGCTGAGGAACTTAGGTGTACAAGAAGAAATTCAAGGCTGTATTACAATCAGTTACAAGTTCTTGGGTAAAATAGATCATCCCATCTAATGTGTCCCATTTACTTGAAATGAGAGTGTCAGAGTAGAGTTTAAATTATAATGATATAAAATGCCTTTTAACATAATTTTTAAATTTTCTTAGAAAATGCACAGTGGATTACATTCTTTACTCCCAGTGTGTTTTCATGCCTTTCTTCCTTCGAGGTGAAACTGAAGATCTGTTCCTAAAATCTTCACTAATTGTACTGAGCATTTATCCTATTGGGACAAATGAGTGCAGTTGGGGAGTTTGTGACTGGGGTCAAGAAAAGGAGAATATGCTGGAAACACTGGGAAGTCTCTCACTTTTCTGACCTGCCCTTAAGTTTAAGGGCACCTTTTTTTTTTTATTAAAAAAATTTTATTTCCTCTATTTATTTTTAGAGAGAGAGGAGGGGAGAGGGAGAGAGAGATAGAAAATTGATGAGGGAGAACATTGACTGGCCACCTCCTGCATGCCCTGCACTGGGGATTTGGCCCACAACCTGGGCACATGCCCTGACTTGGAATCAAACCAGCGACCCCTTGATGCATGGGTCAATGCTCAACCACTGAGCCACACTGGCCAGGCTCAAGGGCACCTTTAAATCTGCAGGGATACTTGCAGAGCTTCAGTCAACTTCTTCTTCAGGTTACATCTTTGATTCTTTCTTTCTCTCTTATGTCTATTATTTACCCCCTCGATAAAATCTTCTGAGAAACTACATATTGAAAGTCAAATGTATTCAAATTAACATGTTTTAAAGTATGAGTATTAATTAATATATGCAGTGTATATATGTTCTGTGTAGAGAGATTAATAATCTAACCAAGGAGACACATCTCTAAGAGTGGTAGAAAGGAAATAAAATGCTACAAGAATTCAGGATTCTACTCCATTGCTCAGTACTCTGTTACTTCTTTGCAAATTCTCCTTTTCATTTATATGGCTACTATGATCTAATATATAGATGTACTAAGTCTACTTTGATTTAATAGTAACCCAACTGCCTGGCCAGTATGGCCCAGTGGATTGAGCATCATCCCATGGACAGAGAGATCCTGTTTGATTCCTGGTCAGGGCACATGCCCTGGATGTGGGTTCCATCCCCAGTAGAGGGCGTGCAGGAGGCAGCCCATTGATGATTCTCTCTCACATGGATGTTTCTATCTCTCTCTCCCTAAAAAAACCAATAAAAACATATTTTAAAAAATAGTAACCTAACTGATTTCTCAGTCGCTAATCTTTCCCCACCTCATCCTTCAATCCGGGAATAGTGTATAAAACAAAGGAACTGAGTTCCTTCCTCGTACAAAGCAACCGAAGTAGTGCACCTTGCAAGGTCTTTCACAGGCTGGTCCTAATATGTCTTTCCAATCTCTTTGATCTCTTTTCCTCTACACATGAATCCTCCATGAAAAATCTGCCTGGAAAAAGAGCCAAATCCTATAAAGCCATGAATTCCCAACCAGTCGCTGCTTTTTATAAATGGGGAACAGCAGAAAACTCATAGCTAAGATTCATTAATTTCCCTGCATAAAAAGCAAGTGGTAAGAGTGGGTGGTTGTTAAAAATGGCATACTCCTAACATTTTGTCTCACACAATAGTCATAGAAGTAAAATAAAAACAATGTCCTTTCATATAAAAAACTTCCTAAGTTATTTGGCATGCATAAGAATTTCTGGACATATACACATGAGAAATAACTTCTCTACACTTTAGCAATGTTCATTTTCTAATAGCCTGAAAGGGACAGTTCAAAGAATACATCAGAATCAGATGGTCACCACCACCACTCTTATTGACCCTTCTCCTTGGTCACACCTTCCCTATTCTAAGTGCTTTACATACATTACATTACTTAGTCACTCACTGAAATTATTCCTTTAACTCAGCCCATTGTATTCATTAGGTTTTGGGATCTTGGACCTAAGTTTACCCTCTAAACTTTAGTTAAGAGCAAGAAAAAAAAAGTAAAGATCCCCAGACAATCACAATATCAACTCTCCTCATTTCAGCTTAAACTACTCAGCCTAAACACTAAAAACACAGAGTTTATAGAGTTCCAAAGAAAATAAGGGAACCCAGACAGGCAATGCTTTTTTGTTGTTGTTAATCCTCATCAGAGGATATTTTTTCATTGATTTTTAGAGAGAGTAGAAGGGAGGGAGGGAGAAAGAGAGAAACATTGATGTGAGAGATGCATCAACTGGTTGCCTCCCGCACAACCCCAATCAGGGCCAGGAATTGAACCTGCAACCCCTGACCAGGAATCAAACCCATGCTCCTTCAATCCATGGGCCACTGCTAACCACTGAGCCAAACCAGCCAGGGCAATATGCAATGCTTTGTAAGAAATTCTTGCCAGCTATGTCAATGCGATGACAGGAATATCAATTACCTGGCCCGGGTGCACTGGCCACCGAAGGTGGGAGTGGGGGCAGTTGTTTCCATGTGAAGGTTTTGCTTTCATTATTTATCTGAAATGAAGTGAAACTTGTATCGGGAGAGAACAGTTTAAAAATAAATAAAAACAAATGCCTGAGACAACATGCAGTCTGTACCAAATGTATATCTAGAATTAAAACAGCCTTAAGAAATGTCAGTTTTACTTTAACTCTGTCCAAGGGAGAACATATTCTTACAGAACTTTAATGTGCATTTTAATGTATTTCAAAATTAGAATAAATAAAATACTACTGTATAGTCTTCTCTTTCATAATGCTGAAGAAAGAGGCATTGTTTTCATAATATCTGAAAAATATTTACCTTTGATTTTGGATTGGATGCAGTCCAAGAAGACACTCAGCCTGGCAAATACACCTGGCTTCCTGGCCGGGCACAGCCAGCTCCCCGGCTGACGATGCCAAAGGGACCAAGGGATCCTTTTCATGTCTCCACACGAATGGCCCACCAGAGTCCTCCTGAAACACCAAAGAAATGTGTTCTAGAAATTTTCTGTAATCAGTGCTCCTGTTTTCAATTTTGGAACAGGAATAACCAATAATTTACACATAACATATTCCTTTCATTTCTGAAAGAATTATTCTTTGTCAATTTGTATGCCTTTGTATACTTAGACTCAAATTAATAAAATCACAAATGAAAGAGGAGACATTACAAGTGATACCACAGAAATACAAAGAATCATAAGAGACTGTTATGAATAATTATACACCCAAAATTGGACCACCTATAAGAAATACAGTCATGCACTACATAACAACGTTTTGATCAATGACAAACCACATATATGATGTCAGTCCCATAAAATTATAATGAAACTGAAAAACTCCTATCATCTAGTGACATCATAACTGTCCCAACATGGTGGTGCAGTACAATCTTTGTGTGTTTGTGGTGATGCTGGTGTAAACAAACCCACCATGCTGCCAGTCATATAAAAGTGTAGCACATACAGTTGCAGTAGTAGGCTATACCATCTAGGTTTGTATAAGTACAATATATATTTGCACAAAGATAAAATTGCTTAATGACGCATTTCTCAGAATGTATCCTTGTCATTAAGCAGAGCGCATGACCTAGAATCATACAACCCACCAAGACCTAATCAATCATAAGGCAATAGAAAATCAGAACAGACAAATACAAGTAAGAAAATTGACTCAGTAATCAAAAACATCCCAACAAAGAAAAGCCCAGGACCAGATGGCTTCACTGATGAATCTACCAAACATTTAAAGAATTAACTCCAATTTTTATCAAATTCTTCAAAAAAAATTAAAGAGGAGGAAATACTCCCAAGCTGATTTTATGAGGCCAGCATTACTCTGAGACCCAAGACAGATTGGGACATTACAACAACAATAAAACCACAGGCCAGAATCCCTAATGAACAAAGATGTAAAAATACTAAATAAAATGTAGATTGTCCCTGACTTATAATTGTTTGACTTACAATTTTTTTTACTTTATGGTGGTTAAAAATCAATATGCACTTACTAAAAGCTATACTTTGAATTTTAATCTTTTGCTAGGCTAGTGATATGCAGTATGATACTCTCTCTAGTGATGCTAGGCCATAACGGTGAGATAATTTTGCCCAACTGTAGGCTAATATAAATGTTCTGAGCACATTTAAAGTAAACTAGGCTAAGCTGTGATGTTTGGCAGATTTGCTGTATTAAATGTATATATATATTTTAAATCGTTATTCAAAGATCTTTTTCCATTTATTTTCAGATAAGTGTGAGGGAGGGAGGGGGAGAGAGAAACATATTGACGAGTTGACTCCCGCATGATCCCAACCAGGGCCTGGCAGTGAACAGCAACAGAAGTATGTGCCCTTGACTAGAATCAAAGCCACCGGTCTTCAGTCCATGGGCAGACACTCCAACCGCTGGGCCAACCTGGCCAGGGCATAAATGTATTTTTTACTTAATTGTATTTTCAACTTACAATGAGTTTACCAGGATATAACCTCATCATAAATCAAGGAGCATCTGTACTGACGAACTGAATTCAAAAGGATATGATTCTTTTGATGATTAAGTAAGATTTATTCCAGTGATGCTAGGTTGGTTCACTACACAAATCAATAAATGTGGTATTAATAAAATAAAAGTTAAAAATTACACTATTATGTCACTGGTACAGAAAAAAACATTTAATATCCTTTCTTGATTTTAAAAACTCTCAGTAAATTGGGTATAAACCAAACATACCTCAACATAATAAAATTTCTATATAATTACACACAGGAAACATCATATTTAACCGTGAAAGGATGAAACATTTTCATCTAAGACTAGGGATAAGACAAGCGTGCCCACTCCCATCATTGCTATCAGTTAAGGGGAAAAAAGGCATCCAAATCAGAAAGAAACAAGTAAAATTGTATTTGCAGATGATGTAATCTTATATATAGAAAATTGAACCAACTAAAAAATATAGTAAAGTTTCAGGACACCATATGAACATAGAGAAAGCAGTTTATCGTTACACACTAACAACAAAATATATGAAAAAAAAATTTCAAATCTTATGTATAATAGCTCAAAAAGGACACAATCCTAAGGAATACATTTAACAAAGGAGGCGAAAGCTCTCTACTAAAAAGTATAAGACTTGGACAAAAGAAATTAAGGAAGACACAAATAATTTAAAAACTAAGGGCATGGGGGGATAAATGGTGATAAAAAAATAAAATAATATATATTTAAAAAAATCTATCCCATGCTCCTGGATCAGAAGAATTAATATTATTTAAATGTCCACACTAATAAAAGCCATTTATATATTCAATGAAGTTTATACCAGAATTTTAGCGGTATTTTTTCACAGAAATTAAAAAAAAAAAAAAATCCTAAAATTCATATGAAACTACAAAAGACCCTAAATAACCAAAAAAACCCTAAGAAAAAAACAAAGTTAAAGGCATCAAACTTCCTGATTTTAAAATATATTATAAATCTACAGTAATCAATACAATATGGTACTGATATAAAAATAGACACATAGACAAATGGGACAGAATTGTGAGCCCAGGAGAAAGCTTTACATGTATGGTCAACTAATATTTCACAAGGGAACAAAAAAATACTGAATAGGGAAAGTATAATCTCTTCCATAAATGGTGTTAGGGAAACTGGATAAACACATGCAGAAAAATGAAAATGGATTCCTATCTTAACCCCTCACAAAAAATAAGACCCCTAGAAGAAAACACTGGGGAAAAGCTCCTTGACATTGACCTTGGGAATGACTTTTGGGATATGAAACCAAAAGCACAAGCAACATAAGCAAAAGTCAATTATTGTGACTATGTCAAACTAAAAGGCTTCTGCATATCAGAAGAAACAACAAAATAAAAAGGCAACTTATGAAATGAAAGAAAATATTTTAAAACCATATATCTGATAAGTGCTCAATGTCCAAAATATATAAAGAATTCATATAAATTAATAACAAAAATCAATGCAATTTAAAATGGGCAGAGGATCTGAATACACATTTTCCAAAGAAGATATACAGATAGCCCACAGGTACATGAAAAGCTTCTCCACTCACTAATCATCAGGATAATGTCAATTAAAACTATGATGAACTATCACCTCACACCTGTTAGAATGTCTATCTTCAAAATGACCAGAGATAAAAAGTGCTGGAAAGGATGTGGAGAAGAGGGAGCCCCCATGCACTGTTGGTGGGAGTGTAACTTGGTGCAGCCACTATGGAAAATAATGTGGACATTCTCAAAAAATTAAAAATAGAGCTGCCATATGATTCAGCAACCCCACTTCTGGGTATGAACCCAGAGGAAATGAAAATAGGATATCGAAGAGGGTTAGGCACTCCCATTGAAGCATTATCCACAATAATCAAGATGTGGAAACAACCTATTTTTCTGTCAAAGAATAAATGGGTAAAAAAGATATGATTGAATATATATATATAATGGAATATTATTAAACTGTGAGAAAGAAGGAAGTCCTGCTATTTACAATAACATAAATGGTTCTTGAGGACACTAGGCTAGATAAAAAGTCAGGCAGTAAAAGGTAAATGCTGCATGATCTCCCTTAGAGGTGGAGTCTTAAAAAGCTGAACTCACAGAAACAGAATAGAATGATGGTTACCAGAGACGGGTTTGGAAATGGGAAAATCATTGTGACTGAAATGTAGTAAGCAAGAGGAGAGAAGAATAAAATCAATCAGAAAAGTCAGCAGGAACGGGACAAACCTTGTTCCAGATATCCCTTTGAAGGGCAAAGAATTTGAAATTTTTAAGAAAATCTAAAAATTGAAATTTGCTGTGAGCAAAGAACCACAGGGTTCTACCTAGCATATCTGAAACTCTCATGTCTCTGCATTCCAACGTTTTTATTTTCACCATCCTGGATGAGAAATTACATCAGCAGGTCTATTACCTCTGAGCAAAAATCAATTAGCTGATAGAAATAGTCGAGTCTAATTTATCTAAGCAAGCATCTGAAGTCACCCTTTTGTAAAAGAAATCTAGCCCCAGTCACTAGTCAGAATGGCCTTCCTTTTTCCTTCCCTCACATTGGCTGTAAATTTGGTCACGCTGCGGTAGGTGACCATTGGACATGACTGAAATATGAATAAGTGCCCGCCGAGGTCACGCTATGCAGGCCACCTCTGACATGAACCTAATTCACTCCCCGGTTCTTTGCTGTCTTGATACAGATTAAGGTCTTCCTTCGATGTTACGTGCTGTCAAACATGACAGAGACAGTAGAGCCATTTGTGATATCTTTTGAAAGTAAAGAGAAATACCATCCCTCAAAAGGGGGAGAATGAACACACGAATTTAGAGTGTTTTTCTGTTTGATTTTTGTAATAGCACTTTATGTCCTCCAGCAGATCTGGGAGTGCCCTTCCCATTTTCCTCAGGTCTTCCTGTCCACATCCTGGCTCTGTGACTGCCGCTCTTCCCTGTCCACCCCACCCAGGAAGCAGGCCAGAGGTGAAGGAAGCACTTGTCCTGCAGCCACTGAACTATGACCTTGAGGAAGTAGTGTAAGTACCCAGCTCCTTCACCCCCCAGAGAGGATCAATATTCTTAGTGTGTTTTGCATCACTGCCAGGGTTTTGCTGCAGAATGAAGCTCAGTCCCTCACTGTGGTAGTGATTAACTGCACCACCTGGATTGGCTGCCTTCCCTTCCCTATACCTCCTCCTCACTTCCCTACCAGGGATCCGAACTTTCTAAAAAGATCATTGCCACAGGTCTGATTCTGGTGATTGCAAATTAAGATATGCAACATACAACAGAATTTGAGTAATGCTTGATGCGTGAAAGGGTTTAAATGCAATAAATTTATATTCACTATTAAGAAGGGACCTCCTCCCTTCTCCATGTTTTTACATGGATGGACTTCTATTCACATTAATTCCCAGTTTTCTCCCCATAGAGGTGACATCCACTGGTTCATGTCTCTTGATTTGGGGTGGAGGGCAAATATCAAAAAAGCAGTGAAGACCAGAGATTCATTCTTTCTTCTCTCTCTGCTCTGACCAGTATAAAATGATAGAACTGCCCTGAAGACCACAATTTTCCTTTAGGTGGGCTGCTCAGATCCAGACTAGATATTGAAGGTAGGCTACAGAGTGTTAGAAATCCTTTTTGGTGTACATCTGAAGGCACATTCCTCAGTAAAGCTGGGGTTTGCAACCCATTTGCCCCTATTCTGCCGTTTTCTTAGCTGATTCTGAACTTGCCAATAGTATGATTGCCCATGTGAATACATCTGCACAGCTTTGTACCCTTATAATATCACTGAAACTAAACTACGGCTTTGTGATATGGTTTCCACTGCATATAAAAACCACATTTTCAAAGGTTCTCATTGTCTTCATGATTATTTTATTTATCTGTGGTGGAAAATCAAGTGTGAATAACACTGAAGATTAACAGCAATTTTAACCAATTAAACTCCTAAGTCGTAAATAAGATACACTAATTTAGAATCCTTCTTTGCTTGTTCCTCTTTTCCCAAAGCCTTAAATATATCTGAAGACATCCTCCCACCTGCAGGCCAGTTTGGTGGTGCTGCCATCTCCTACCTCCTCGTGGCTCCTCTCTGTTTCCACCTGCTCTTCTGGCTGCGGGCTGTTTCCACCCTCTCTCTGCCGTCTCAGCGCGTTTGGACACAGTAACTCACTCTTCCTGCTGTCCCACTGGCCTTTGGGTGAGGGGATGTGGCATGGCTCCATGAAGCACAGGCTATCTATCCTTCTGTGTAAGGAGAGTCTCCTGCCGATGACAACTTTCTCTCTGCATCTGCAAAATCATAACCATCTCACCTGACCTCCAGCCGCTGCAAAGCCAGCACACATCATCTTCTCTGTGATCCCTCCTGGGTGAGCAGAACAGTAAGTGTGCCCCCAGATCTCTCTTGCTAACACGGGCACTTGGATCTGTTGTCAGCGACCTGCCAGGCCCCCATCTAATTAAGAAGCAGATTTAGAAAGGGAGCTTAATAATGAAGTAAGCAAGAAGCTGTGTTAAAAATACGTGTAAGTTCGGACTTGCTCCGCACCAACATCCTTGCAATCACTCCGCTATGCCTGAGCTGGTGCAGAATTGAATCACAGGATGTGTGTCTCGAGCAGGGCGTCTTCATTTCCAGATCTGACGTCTTTGTAAAGGAAAGAGGCTGACAGGAGAACAAGACCAGAAACACCTTTTCCTAACTTATTTCCAATTTAAATTTTAGTGTTTCAAATATTGCTACATCGGAAGTCAGAAAGAATTCAACAAGATATGAAGTGGTGTTATATGCGGGTGACATGATTACAAATTTACGCAGATGAAAATATTATGCAAATATAAATATGAGATAGCAATATGTTTTTGTGATTTCCTAAGATAAATAAAAAACCGTATTCCTTTTTTGCCTTCAATTGTCCCTGTGACCTAAACTCCACTCCAGTTGAAAATGGCACTAATGATGAACACCAAAGAATTTCTTCTTATAACTGACCCTCAGTCAGGCCTGTGTTAACGTGCTTTCTGCATGACTTATTCTATCACTTTAGATTCATGACATTAAAAAAAATTAAGTTGGCTATTTTATAGCCTTAGACCTTTTTGGACAACATGAAAATTACCTTCCATTTATATAGCACCTTACTATTCATAGAGCCCTGTGCTCCAACCTAATGACGCGACAGCATCGTGAGGCAGGCTGGCCCTCTGATCTCACACCTGAAGAAGCCACACTCCTGAAGATGCGAGCTCCCAGCACCAGCAGGACAGAACCCTCAGGACACCAGCCCAGCTCTGACTCTAAGTCTTGTGCTCTTTTCAATGTATTGACCTAACACATGAGTAATTTAATGTATTCAAACTCCTCTTTTCAGGGACCACCCATTCCATCAGTGTGGCTTGCCGTGTCTCAAAATCGAGAACTCATTTTCTCTGAGATTGAAAGGCTGGATTCACCTTTGAGAAGACTGACATCGGTCGTCTGGGGGTCATGGAGTTGGCATCGGTTGAAGGTGCTAGAGAATGGGCATATTTCTTCAAGGGCTTTGAAGCCAGTCAGTCAATAAATATGTCCCGTTTCCTTGAATCTAGGTAAACTAGTCCTGGGGAGAGAGTGCTGAGTTAGACAGAGATCTGCCTCGCAGAGGTTCCCACTCTGAGTGGTGAGATGTAGAAAATGATCACATAAAACAATGTCAAGAACATGTATGTGTAATAAGATGATAAAAGTGGGCAGTGTAGAAAGTCAGTGATGGAAGAAGAGTCCCGCTGCAGTGACGTGGTCTGAGGAGAGATAAGTGTGTTCTATTTTTTTTTTTTTTTTGTGGTACGTGCCCTTAGCGGGAACCAAACCTAGGACTCTCTGCTCCGCCGACTGACATTCAATCACTGAGCCAAACTGGCCAGGATGAGTAAGTGTGTTCTAAGTGGGAGAATACAGAGTGCAGAGCTTCAGTCCTGCCAGTGTGGCTCAGTGGTTGAGCGTCGACCCATGCACCAAAAGGTTGCTGGTTCGATTCCCAGTCAGGGCACATGCCCAGGTAGTGGGCCTGATCCCCAGTGGGGGGCATGCAGGAGGCGGCCAGTCAATGTTCTCTCTCATCGATGTTTGTCTCTCTTTTCCCTTCAGAATGCTGAATAAGTTTGGTGTTTAAGAGAAAGTAAGAAGCTCTGGCCAGTTTGGCTCAGCGGTTAGAGCATCGGCCTGTGGTCCAGAGAGACCTGGGTTCGGTTCCCACTAAGGGTGCGTACCTTGGTTGCAGTTTGTCCCCGGCCCTCGTTGGGTTGTACGGGTGGCAGCCACTCGATGTGTCCCTTTCACGTTGATGTTTCTCTCTCTCTCTCTCTTCCTCTCTCTCCCTCCCACTCTATCTGAACAAAAAATGGAAAAATGTCCTCAGGTGAGGATAAAAAAAAAAGAGAGAGAGAGAAAGTAAGAAGACTGTGGTGCCTGAAGGAACAAAAGGAGGAAATTAAGTGGAGGTTGAAATCACATGGAGCCCAAGTCAGGCTGGGAGTTCAAGAATTATCAGCTGAGCCATGGCTGATTTTAAATCCAAGCTTTGATACCTATTAGTCATGAGATATTAGAAAGTCACATAAATCTTTCGGCCATAACCTACTCATTTGTAAAATAGGGAGGGTAAAAATCTCCTCCTATGGTTGTTGCAAAGAAGGTCTTTGGAAAACGCAATTTGGCTGCAGGAAGTGCAGTAGCTGTGAACATGAACCCTGTACGCAAAGGTAATCCTCTCTCCTTCAACTCACAGATTCCAAGTAAGTGGCTCAGAAACAGAAGGAAGATGTAAAAGAAAACAATCTTATACAGTGAAAAGAAGCAAAATGCAAACATCGACCCATTCAGATGGATCAGTATTTTATGATGATTTTAAGAATTCTACAGTCTAGGCCAGCAGTCAGCAAACCATAGTCAGAGGGTCAATTCCGTGTCAGCACCAACCCCCTCCAGTCCCTGGTCCTATTTACTGCAGTCCAGGAACTATAATGGTTTGTACATTTTTAAATAGTTGAAAAAAATCCAAATAAGAATAATATTTTGTGACACATAAATATTATACGAAATTTAAATTTCATGAATGAAGTTCTGTTGGAACCCACTGTGTTACATATTGTCCATGGCTGCTTTGTGCTACAATGGCAGAATTGAGTAGTGTGACAGGGACCATATGGCAAAGCCTCAAAAACATATCTGGCCCTTTACAGATCTAGCCTACTTGTGTTCTCACTAAAGGGAAAACATAAAACAGCTCATTCTGTAATTTGATAACCTATTACAACTAAATAAAACATGGTTTCTGTCTTTTGGAAGGAACAAAGGCTAAAGCAGATATTGCCTTATATCATTTTCATGAGGTATTTTTAAAATTAACAACCTACAGTCAAGTTTCTGCAAATGTGAAATGTTTACCTTCACTAATGTTTCCCCATCCAGTCACAGCACAGATCTCCGAGGACAGCAGAGGCTCCGTGCTGTGGGGGAGACACGCTGACCTCACAGCAGAGCTGAGCTCCAGGGTGAGCCCAGCTGCATGAGGACGATGTCAGAGGCAAAGCTCGATCTCTCCAAGTCTTTATGCACCACGATGTGTTCTGCCTTTCTTACCTGCATCAGTGACAAGCAAGAAAATACAAGATTAAGTCAACGAGTCAAACTACGTCCTCTCATGATGGTCCAAAACAAATCTTCAATCTCTGCATTTCCAACCAGCAATGAAGATGACTTTGTACTAAATCTAAAAGGGTGATCTCAGTTTATAATTTGCAGGAGGCTGTGAACCACGTTCTGGGGATGGGCAGCCCTGGAGAAACCAGACTATGTGGGCCTCCGCACACAGACCTGAATTTGTGCTCCCTGAACAACTTCACCTAATTCTCTGATTAAATTATGATCTCAAATTGTATCTTTCAATGTTGGCATAAATGATCAATGTCTAGGGGCACTAGGAGATGAATATCTAATTACATACTTTTGCTAAAGAAAGTCCCCAGCATGTGACAACACCGAGAGGGCAGGCAAATGACCTGGAAAACATTTCCCACCTGCTCAGTTGGTTCTTTCAGGGTTCGGTCATGGTCCCCAGCAATGACAGTCCAGAAGACTGGATTATTTTTCCTAAAAAAAGAAGAAGAGTTTAACATGGAATGACATTTGTCGCCATTTGGCTCACCCTTTCCGGCTTTGCGAAGATGCACTGCTCAGTTCAGCCAGGTGCCACCCAGTCGGTCGCCCTCCTGGCACCTTGGCGTGCTCTCCCACGGGAAGGTGCACCACGCCTCCTCATCTACCTGGAAAGGAATTCTTACTTGCATACCTTCCCTCCTTCTTTTGGCCATAAAATGTCTTTGGAGCTCTTAGCAAATAACACCAAAGGTTATTTTTAAGTTGAGAAGGAAAAAAGAAAAGAGCTTATTTTGATCTCACAATAATGTTAAGAACACATGAAAAAACTTATATACATATATGCATAGCCCATGGTCACAGACAATAGTGTGGTGAAAGCCTAGAGTGGGACAGGGGCTGGGTAGCGGGGAACCAAGATGGGGAGATGGGGGACATCTGTAATACCGTCAACAATAAAATAAAATAATACATGAAAAAACCCTACATTCAAAATGAGATAGCTTCAGGTTTGGCTTTACTGTTAAAAGTATCCAAACAGCCCTGGCTGGTTTGGCTCAGTGGTTGGAGAGTCAGGCTGTGGATCAGAGAGTCCTGGGTTCGACTGCCACTAAGGGCATGTACCAAAAAAAAAAAAAAAAGTATCCAAACATTATCTTTCATGAATACATATCAAATTGCTATCTTTTATAAAATCACACAAATTGATTAAACTGAGGTTAAAAAGAGATTATCAGTTCAAAAATAGAAAGGCCTTGCCCTGGCTGGTTTGGCTCAGCGGTTAGAGCGTCAGCCCGTGGACCAGAGTCCCGGGTTGGGTTCCCGCTAAGGGCACGTACCTCGGTTATAGTTTGTCCCCGGTGAGGTTAGGGTCATGTGTGTGGCAACCACTCAATGTGTCTCTCTCACACTGATGTTTCTCTTTCTCTCTTCCTCCCTCTCTCCCTCCTGCTCTATCTGAAGATAAATGCAAAAATGTCCTCAGGTGAGGATAAAAAAAAAGGGAGGCCTCCTCTATGGTGTTAGAAATCACTGATTATTTGAGCAGGAAGATGATTGGAAGAAGCATGAGGGGGCTTGCTGGGTGTTTGCAATATTTTGTTTCTTCATCTGGGTGCTAGTTGATGGGTGCTCACTTTGTGAAAATTCCTCTAACTGGAAGTTTAAGATTTGTACATTTTTATATACTTCAAGAGGTTAAAAAACTTGAATCAACATCCACTCATTTGCCACATCAAGATTTCCAGCTGAAAAAATATCTGAGGAAAGAATCTTTTAATTGCCACAAATATTCTGTCCCTTCAGCTTAGAGTTGCTTTCATTTTACAAAAGTGTGTCTTCAGAAAAAATAAAGTCTTTGGAATTATTTTTCAACACCCTTTATTCAAAGGATAAGTTTCTTAGTACACATAGGCATCTTCTCTTGCCATCACCATGCTCATTTCAATTCCTTGCAGGGTGAGTCTTACTCATGTGTTTCAATACGCCTTTGTTAAGGGAGCTAACTCGGGGAAAGTGCTTGGCAAGTACCTTGCAGATGGTAATATTCATAATGGAGCCATTACCATTGTTATCATCTGCCATGCTCACTAATAGAAGGATTAAAGTTTATGTCAAAGTCACCCTCTAAGTTATTGTGAGTAAAAAACTTATTTCTTAAAGTCACTCTACATCTATAGATAGAGGATAGTGTGTACAGGACCATGAAATAATAAAAATTATGCCCAGCCAGTGTGGCTCAATGGTTGAGCATCGACCCATGCATCAAGAGTCGCTGGTTCAATTTCTGGTCAAGACACATGCCCAGGTTGTGGGCCTGATCCCCAGCGGAGGGCATGTAGGAGGCGGCCAGTCGATGTTCTCTCTCATTGATGTTTCTATCTCTCTCTCCCTCTCACTTCCTCTCTCTCTAGAATTAATAAAGGAAAAATTTAAAAAAAAATTATTGTAGAGGTGATAAGGTAGACCACAATTTGTAGTGACATTTTATGTGCACAGTCATGGAATATCCTTTAATTTGTGTAAAAAGCATGTGACAGAGCAACACACTTTTATGGAACAACAAAATCCGAGATTTTTCTGACAGTGAGATAAGGGCTCAAGGTATCAATTTATAAATTTTTTTCATCCTTTATTCCCACTTGCTCATAATGAAATCCTGTTTGTTATATTGTTAGGGTCTCGCCTCCAATCCAACAATGGCACATGTGTCACTTACTGCTATGGGAGAAGAAATAGTTCCTACTGAATTACATAGAAAAAGTGGCTGAAATTGAAAACATGGTATCAGCAACTACAAAGTTCTGGAGACAGCTCAAGCTCAGCAGGTTTGAGGAGCAGGTCTGGCCTACTGCGAGCAAGGCAGGGGAGTGGTCAAGATGGGTCAGAGAGACTGGGACTGGTTCTTGACCTTGACTATACATTGGAATCATCTGGGGAGTGTTTAAATATATGGTATCCAGAACCTACCTACAAGCGATTGCCTTAACAAGTCTGGACTAAAAAGGAATTAATTACATTTATACACCACAGATTAATCTATATAAGATGTTATGACCAGCCCGGGCTGGTTTTGCTCAGTGGTTAGTGTTGGCCGCACACCGAAGAGACCCGGGTTTGGTTCCCACTAAGGGCACGTACCTCGGTTGCAGTTTGTCCCTGGCCCTGGTTGAGGTTGTGTGGGTGGCAACCACTCGATGTGTCTCTTTTACATTGATGTTTCACACTCTCTCTTTTCCTCCCTCTCTCCCTCCTGTTCTATCTGAAGATAAATGCAAAAATGTCCTCAGGTGAGGATTAAAAAAAAAAAAAAGATGTTATGCCAATAAAAGTAAGTCAAAACAATATAAACTACAATTCTTTAACTTAATATCAAAACCAAGACAAACCAAACAATATACTGGTTTTAAGGTTCTATGGGTGTTAAAACTAAAACTTTTTTTAAAAAGCAAGACAATTATTAATGTAAAATTTTGCAGTGTTTACTTCTTGAGAGGGGGCACTAAGGGTGTTGAAAGGTAAGTATAAAGATCCTTTCTAAAGTGGGTGGTAGGAACACAAATGTAAAATAATAAGTGTTCTTTAAAGTACATATATTTTACATACATTCTTCTATATCATGTCATACCTCACAATTTAAAAACATTATTTGAAAAGTTAACCAAAATTTTAGTTCACTAGTAGTCAAGGTGGTGGATTATTTACTCTGCTCTCCACTGTGGTGAACTATATTTTAAGAGGAACAATACTAAAACAATTCGGGGGGGGGGGGGTCCGCTGCATGGAGAGGGAACTGGAACTACAACAGAATAATGAACATTTAGCTTAAGGATTAAATTAAGAGGCAATGTGAAATTGGTCTTCCTATGTAGGAAGGACTTATATGTGAAAGAAGAAATAGACTTAGTTCTTCTTTTCTGAAACATTTAAGAGCAGACTTCTCCAACGACTTACCATAGGCAATAATTGTAATTCCCAGACACCAGCTGAGCTTCATAAAGATATATATACTCCAAACCCACCTCTGGGGAATCTGATTTTAAAAGCTTGCCCAGGTAACTCTATGAAGCAATTATATTGAAATTTATATTATATGGAACTTATGTCCTAGTAAGAAAATTTTGTTTGTTAGCAGAGCAGACAAGATTCTTTATTATCTAGATCCTTGTTTTATCTCTTTCTCACTGTATGAAACTATTTACAGTCCTCAAACATGCCAAATTCACTCCGACATCCAAATGCTGCTGTCTTCTCCGGAATCCTGCTAGGACTCAGCTCAAGTACCATTTTCTCCAGGAAGCTTCTCTGGCTCCCCCGTAAGAGGCAGATATGCTCACCTCTCTGTGATAGCGCCCCCACTAGGGCACATTCAGTATGTGGTTACCGAGGAATGTTAGATCATAATGTCTAACCAGATACTTTAGATGATAAAGATGTTAAAAGTTGCCAGTGTGTATTAAAAAAACAAAAACTGCCCTGGCCGGTTTGGCTCAGCGGTTAGAGCATCGGCCTGCGGTCCTGAGAGACCCGGGTTCGGTTCCCGCTAGGGGCATGTACCTTGGTTGCAGTTTGTCCCCTGCCCTGTTTGGTCGTGCGGGTGGCAACCACTCGATGTGTCCCTTTCACATCGATGTTTCTCTCTCTCTCTCTCTCTCTCTCTCTCTCTCTCTTCCTCTCTCTCCCTCCCACTCTACCTGAACAAAAAATGTCCTCGGGTGAGGTTAAAAAAAAAAAAAAAAAAAAAAAAAACCTTTGTTTTCCCCCTTTGCCTCAAAATGCATAATCAGAGTCCAGGAAGATAATTTAAATATTAGATTTGCACAGGAATAGAGAAAGACAAAGAATTGTGCTCTGTACCCCTTTCTTCCTATTATAAAGTTTATTTCTTCTTCCCCCTATGTATGAGTTTATATACAAACCCAAACACGATTCTGGAAGTTTCGTGGTCCTAAATATAAAACTCATTCTCCTTCACTGTGGAGCTATATCAATGTAAGAAGAGGCTTTCTAAAATAGACATCCAGTTAAAAAGAAAAGAGATTAAACAGAGTAACCACATGGCCATAAACTCACCATACAGAATCGTTTTTGAAGAAGATATAGGATTGGTTTTGGGAGTGATGTTGATCCAATTTTGTTTAAAGAATCTATAGAAGAATTAAAAATCTTCTGGAGGACTTCCAAGGAGAAATCGACAACAATACAATCATAGCAGGGGACTTCAACACCCCATTGACAGCACTGGATAGATCCTCTAGGCAAAAAATTAGCAAGGAAACAGAGACTCTAAATGAAGCACTAGGCCAAATGGATTTAATAGATATCTACAGAGAATTACACCCCAAAACTACAGAATTCACATTCTTCTCAAGTGCACATGGGACATTCTCAAAGATAGACCACATGATAGGACACAAACTAAATCTCTACAAGTTCAAGAAGATTGAAATCATATCAAGCATCTTCTCAGATCACAATGGCATGAAACTAGAAAT